AGCAGGCGTGCGAGGGCCACCATAGCGGAGGTGGAAAAGGAGCAGCCACACTCGAGAGTGTCACCCAAACACATTTTACTAGCTCTAAATAAAAAAATAATATAAAAAAAAGAAGCGCCACAATTTGCAGCGATGAACAGCACCCGCAGGACTGAATCTCCTCGGAGCAGCCTTCCCCGGCACCCCGAGCCTCGGCACCCCGAGCCCCAGCACCCCTCCATGGAGTTACTGAGTCCAGCCGCATCCTGGCCACCTGCAGCCCTCCTTGGAGCTGGGGCTTCACTTACAGGGTCTGGAGAGGAGCGAAGGTTTGGGGGACACCTGCTCTTCCCCTTCATGGCTGTCACCCCACCAAGGTGTGGTTCTGGACAAGTTTTTGTGGCCCTGGTTCGATGCTCTGGGCTCCCTCCCCGGGGAGCACCGCTGCCAGCTGGGGTGGTGGTGGTGGAGGTCTCTTGGGTTGAGGGAGCAGGGAGAGTCGTGGATGATGTTTTGGGGTACCGGAGCCAGGCAGCCCCTGTATGGGGATCACCACCAGCACAGCCTCTACTTCCAGCACAGCCCACGCAGCACTGGGACCTCATGCATCAGCAGCCCGGTGTGGGGACGGGCACCATCCGTGGGGACGAAGGGACGTGCAGCCGGCGTGCAGGCACAAAGCAGCTCCGGTGAGCGGGGGGCAGCGGGGGGCTGTGGTCCCCCCCGCTCGCCTGCGGCACCTCACTTGTGGATGGGGTGGACGTAGTTGCGGGGGAAGAGGCCGACGCGCCCGTAGATCTTCCCCTGCCACCAGTTGGGGTCCGGGCAGTCCAGGACCTCGATGATGTCCCCGCGGAGGAAGGGCAGCTGGGAGCCGTCATGGGCGGAGAAATCGAACTGGGCTTGTACGAATTTGGGTCTCCTCACCTGGAGGAAAGTCGAGGGCAGGGGTTGGTGGGTGGGGGAAGAGGTGTCCCCATCCGCCAGCCCCTCTGCACTGCCTGAGTCCCCAGCGTGACGGGGATGCTGTCCCACTGCGTGGTAAGGATGAGCCTGGTTGGGGGGGGGTGGGGGTCAGAGCACAGAGGGTACTGGGGTACCTGCGGTGCCCGCTTTGAGGATGAGACATGGGAGCCGGGGAAATCATGGCATGGGAAGAGCTGGAGTGCTGGGGACAGCCCTGGGTGCAGGGGAGAGCCTGGGGTGCAGCAGAGCACCCTGGGGTGCAGAGACTGAGGTGCAGGGGAGCACCCCAGGGCACAGGGCTCCCTGTTCCTCCTGCTTGGAACAGCCGAGATGGGTGCCCAAGGGACCCACACCCCTTGGAGGCAGTTGTCACCCTTCTCCTTCCCGGGTCCCTCTGGGTGCCGGAGCCACCCCCCAGCCCAGGTCCCAGGGCCCAGTTTCACCACTGCCCCAGGGCTCGGCTTTGCTGGAGCTCACCCGAAGGCGGCTGCGCCCCATCCCGAGCTCGTCGGGCTCTGCCACCCGCCCTGGGCATCACCCCTGGCCCAAGGGACAGCGGTGTGGGCCTGGGGCGAGCTGCCCTGCCCTGCCCTGCCCTGCCGAGCTGCGCCGGTGGCTTTTCTCCACCCTGTTGCCTTCCCCGCAGCGCTGCCCGTCTCGGGCTGCTGCACCCTCTCCTGCTCAGCGCCGCCTCAAGCTGAGCCTGAGCGCAGGGCCAGGTGCCACCCAGGCACCCGGCATGTCCCTGTCCCCCTCTGCAGGGACGCTCTGTGCATCCCCCTGGCTCTGTCCCCTGACGGTACCTCCTGGGTCTGGTCCTCGTCCCGGAGGAAGATCTGCTGCTTTTTGGCGATGGTGGTCGTCCTGTAGAAATCCACCAGCTCGTTGAGGGAGTTGAATTTTTCCTCCCAAAGGAAGTATTTGCCGTTCCTCTGCCTGAGCACCTTGAAGTGCTGGACGTGCTGCCCGTAGCTGTGGAAGGAGGATGGACGTTACCCCGGCCTCGGGACGCTGGCAGCACCCAGATCCTCTTCCAGCATCGTGGGCAAAGCCCAGGCACTGCTGGCTGGGCTGGATCTCCGGAGGGGCTGCGTGGCGTGCGGCTGCACCCACGGGTCCCACTACACCCATCCTGCCACGGCCAGGGGTGACGGTGGCACTGGGGTCACTGCTGGCCCTGCTGGCGAGGCAGTGGATGAGGGTCCCCTGCATCCCAGTGACACAGACCTGCAGCTGAGACCCATCCCACATGCAGCCGAAGCGCAGTGCCTGGCCCCAGCTCTCGGCACAGGAGGATGCCCGTGGGCTCGGGGCTGGCAGAGCACTGGCCGTGGCTTTGCCCAGGGAAGAACTAGGGGCCACGTCGGAGGCCACAGGGTCAAAACACTCAGGCAGAGCAGGTAAGAGAGCGGGGCAGCCGTGGGCTTGGGCGCTGATGCTGCTTGGGCTTTTCCTAAAAGCTCTGGGAGGGCTCATTGGGAAGGGTCTGGGGGCAGCTTGTGGTCCCTGCAGCCTGCCAGAGCCCTTCAGCTGCATCCTCCTCTCCTTCCTCATCCTCCTGCTTCACCACCAAGGGGAAAAGAGCAGCGAGAGCTGCAGGTCTCAGCTCAGCACATACCAGGAGGAGTTTGCAAAGGCTTCCAAACCCTCTGTGCCCCCAAGGACCCCCCAAGCTGCAGGAGAACAGGGCAGGCTGGGATTTCCCTCTCCCTCCCCGTGTGTACCTGGGGGTAGCAAGTTGGGGTGCCCATACTGCGGGGCTGGCATGGGGACGCACTGGTGCCAGAGCCCCCGGCAGGGGCAGGGACCTGGCCACACTGGTGACGCAGCACACGGCTCCCTTTCATTATGGGCAAGAACTTCCTTAAACACTTAATTAGAGATTAGCAGCGTGAGAAAGTGCCTGGCTGGCCTGGGGCTGGCTCCTGCTACCCCGGCCCTGGGCAGGGAAGGGGCAGCGATGGGGTGAGAGGCCCGGGGGGCAGGCTC